GACATATAAATAAAAATCAAAAATAAAAAAGCCTCATACAATACGGTACGACGTGGAGAATACTGGTTTACCAGAAGGACGACTCTCCCGCTGCGGGTCGTCGTCCACCAACTAGACTGTTTCACATGCATTATGGCTGGGCTGCTAAGGCTAAAGTTTGTCTCATCACCGAGATGATCTTTGTGCACCATTATATTGACCAGACTGCGGTAAGTTGCGGTTTAACTGGTTTGTTATTACTGTTTTTGGTTCGTCTGTTCTGTGTACTGTTTCATTAACTTTTTATTTTTTGTTAAAAAGGTCATAGGAAACAATGGTTGAAGGCACTGGCACCGTTATGGAGGCTTTGTAAGCTGGGTAGGACAGTTGGTCCCGTCCAACAGATCTCTCGTGTACAATACTAATGACTTCACTAGAGTACTGTTAAGTCTATGCTGGACAGAAGTGTTATATCTTAAAAAGTCTGTCTTTCGTTGTCTACACGAAAGAGGGGAGGAGAAAAAAGGACGCGCCCTTGGATCACGCGCCCCGGGGCTTCCTGCCTACTGCAGGAAGGCGCCGGAGCCGATCCAGGTGTGGGAGATCCCGCAGTCGGACAGGAGGTGGTCCGTCTCGTCGGCCACACTCGAGAAGTCGAAGTGGGACCCCGAACTCGTGCTGACGGCGTCGAAGTCGATGTCAGCCAAGTCCATCTTGATGTCCGTGACGGAGATGAAGTCCGTGATGTTGTACAGGTCGTCGAGGCTCGCGTGGTCCACCGCCAGCGAGGCGCTCGGACTGGGCGTCTCCTGCTTCAGCTCCGTCTTGATGTGGGGCGTGGTGGGCGTCTCGCAGAGCGGCGAGGCCAGGCCGGGCGAGGCCAGGCTCTGGGGCGTGTACACGGCCTCGTACAGAGGGTCCTCGGGCTCCTGCTTGATCATGCTGGCGGTGCTGAGGCTCGACATGACGTTGTGGATGGACGTGGCGCTGCTGAGCGTGAGGCTGGTTCGACTGATGGTGTGAGTGGAGGGCGACGAGGCGGTGGAACTGGTGCTGGAGTGGTAGTGGGCGGTGTGGGCGGGGTTGTAGCTGAAGGCCTGCTGGTCGTCGTACATGGAGGCACACTCTCGGGCGAGTCTGGCAGGTCGCAGGGCGGGCTGGCGGGCACTTCGGGAGGGGACTGCGGCGTGAGGGCCATGGCGCCGTTCTGGGGCATCATGTGCGACCGCTTGAAGTCGTCGTCGATGGTGATCTTGATGCCCAGCTTGTTGTGGTCGACCTCGAGGCCCTGCGTGTGGGTGATGCGCGTGTTGCTGATCACGTTGACCACGCTCTTGGCCTTCTCCCGCCGCCGCCGCCGCCGCCGTGGCTCTCCTTGGCCTTGGTCACCTTGCCGCCGTTCTTGTCCGAGACGCCCCGCAGCTGCCCCTTCTGCCCCTTCTTGCGCGGGCGGTACTTGTAGTCGGGGTACTCGCGGAGGTGCAGCTCCTTCAGCCGCTCGGCC